TCCGCCCACCCCTGTACCCTGTCTAGGTCTGATTGCAGCCTATTCCTCCCTTCTAGCGTGCCCACATCCCCCCACATCTTAGTGTCATCAGCAGATTTGAACAGGGTGCTTTTTACCCCCTTGCCCAAGTCGCCGATGAAGATGTTGAACAGTGCAGGCCCGAGGACCGAGCCCTGGGGGACCCCACTGCTCACATCCCTCCAGGACCGTTATTCCTAGTCACTTCTGGTAGTACTCGGGGGAACAGGGACTCCCCCAATGCCTGCTGGTCCCCTCTGACTAGTTTGTAACAGGCCACTAGATCCCCCCTCAGCCTTTTTTTTTTGGAGGCTGAACAGGTTCAGGTCCCTTAGCCTCTTCTCATAGGGCCTGCCCTACTGCCCCCTGATCATGCGAGTGGCCCTCCTCCGGACCCTCACCATGTTGTCCACATCCCTCCTGAACTGCAGCACCCAGAACTGGACGCAGTACTCCAACTACGGCCTGACCAGTGCCACATAGAAGGGGGGAGGATCACCTCCTTGAACCAGCTTGAGAAAGCAGCAGGTAGCAGAAAGAACATTGTAGTTCTAACAAAATTAGCACTGATAAAATGCAAGGCCTGCTGCTGTCACAGTAAATAGCAGTGCAAAAAAAGCCCATTTCAGGGCAGTATACATGGGCTTGGCATCCACGTATTGATAGAATTTGGACACCTCATTGTCTGAAGCGTGGCACTACTCTTAGGAATAAGTTACAGATCATACGTTGCATGAAGTTGAGTTTATACCCAGATCCTCACTTCAGTTCACTTGCTTTGCTAATACTGAAAGACTTTCTACACCTACAAATGCATTTAAGTATTAATGGCTTCAAGGAACTAAGTACACACTCAAGACAGATGCTCTCTGCTTTAATTTTAAAAAGATATCTCTGGCTGCAGATTTTATTACAGAGTTCAAATTAGTCCAGTCCATAATTAGACTAACCCCCACCCCGATCAAGTTTTTCTATGCTGATGTTGGGATATGACAAGGAACAAACTGCTTCAAAGGGTGACCATGAAAATATCCTGTCTTACATAGAAGAGATTTGACTGCATGCTAATAAACCCGTAAAGCAAATCTAGTGCTTTTTGTAGAAGCACAGACTCATTCCAGGATAAAGCATGCAGCTAATCTCAAGAACAGTCAACACTGTGATGCAGGCAGCACAGCATCCCTGAGTGATAAAGATGATGAGGTGCTTTCTGTAGCCTCCACCTCTAGGGCCATTTCAGGCATCTAGGAGGGTCTTGAGGCAGTCCTTGCAGACTGGAGGAACAGATCTTAAAAAGTCTTCAAAGTCCATAACCCCTGTTCTTACCCAAACACGTTTTCCCCAGAAGAGCAGTGAATGTTTAACCAGGAAAATAATACAATCCACAGTCCTAGGCTAGTTGGTGACATCCAGGCAGAGGTCAGGATTGTGGGAGGTCATCTGGAGGAAGATCCGTCTGGAGAGTTCTGGTCCAATCCGCCGCGAGGTGGCTGTTACTCCATCACCCCGGCGCACAGGGATATCAGCCAGCACGTTCTGCTGCTCCTGCTCAGAGAAGCACCTGCAATAGGCCTGGAACAGTGCAAAGAAACAGGGATTTAATCTGGCATGTTCTTTGGTCTAACAAGTACAACAGAGAGACAGTCACAAGTTTTGCATTTATTCTCCCTTCACACCTCATTTAGCTGCCAAGGTATACCCCAAGAATCCAGAGTGCTCCAATAAATACCGATAAGGTGAGTCCTTAGGACAGTTCCAAGCACAAAAGTTACAACAGAAAGGTAACAACCTTGTACCAGCCATCATAGTCCACTTGGCCAATGCACTCTTTCCCCTCTCTGCAAAGGGAAACACTTAAGCAACCAAGGATGTGAAGGTTAGTAAAAAACAGGCTCTTCTCATCAGCCTCATTCTGCTCTGTACACAAGTCAATGTCTTTCTGCCAGGCCAACGGATCTAGGTAAATCATTCCTTCTGATGCCTTAATGGAATGAAGTTAACTGGCACTTGTATTTAAAGCCATAGGATGAGTCCACATGAGCATGGACATTTATTTCCCTGGGGACAAGGAGCAGTGGAACACCTTGTGCCACTGCTAGCTGCTACTTGGCCTTGCGAAATGCCTGTGCCACATGCCCTCTCCTGGCTGGTTATCCTGGGTTGGGTAAGGGAGGCTGAGGCCAGCAACTGTTCTGGCTCCAGCAGCCTTACCTGGAGTCCTCAGGGAGCTGCAGCTGGGAGCCCGGCTGGCAGCTGGAGCATGACTCTAGCAGGCCAAGCATGTGCACTGACCTGCTTTGAGGCACAGGTTTCTGACTCTGGGATCTCCAGAGTGTAGGATCTTTGACCCTAACCCCCTCCCCCAACATCTGTATGTATGGTGTATGGAGCCACAGATGGGTTTGCCGTACCACATATCACGTCTGCGCTCATCTGGATGTGGCCCTAGGATCCCAAACTGTATCAACCACTCCATCCATAAGGAGTTCTATAAACTTGTGACAAAGCTAAATGAAAAGCACAGCATAGAAGGATATACTACCAGAGGCAGACAGGAGGACTCAGTACAGGCTGCTATAAGTTACTCTCTGTTTAACTTTTTGGAACAAAGTGGGGAAAACAATTTACTGAACACATCTGGCTATCCCAGTCTTTTATCAGATCCCTTCATTATCCCACAAATATAGCCTGCTTCTTATTGCTAGCACCTCTTCACTTGCAACCCAAATTCCTGGCTCTCTTACTCATTCGCTGTACCGGGGGAAAGAACTTGTAAGCTGTGACTAAGTTTCCCCTTCTGGCAGCAATATCCACCTTTGCAGGCACTTGAAAATCAACTATCGAAAGGTGCTATAAGCACATTATGACTTCCACCTTTCATGGGTTATAGTCAGCTACAGTTATGCTCTACACTGCTGAGGAGAGACATGGGGTCAAATGGCAAGTCCCATGAGATTGGTGCATCAGACTTTAACTCTGCAAGATTACTGACTGCAGATAAAATCCCCGCAGGACATGAATGTACACTGGCTGTATGTGCACTTTTCTTAGCCCCTGCAAAGCACCCTTACCTGCTTCAGCAGCCAAGGGGAAGGGTAGGCTGACACAATGGCACTGGCCATATCAGGACTAACCCGGTGGAACTGCTGAATCTGCCTCTGCCAAACCTGCAGGAGCCCCTTCCCTGAGCGGTCTACCTTCACGCCTCGGCACCATTCATTCTCCAGGTAGAAGGAGAAACCTGTGTTCTCTCGCTCCCGTCTGTTCAGGGCAAAGGAAGAGGACAATGAGATCAATGAGACTGGCATAGAACCAGTTGCATAGATCTATATAAAGCAGGAAACTATTGTGAGAAACAGTGGCTACAGGATAGGAAACCCTCACACTCAGCACAGAACAAGAGAGACCAGCAGCATCAAGGCACCTGATCAAAATCTGGCCCATCTTTTCTACATGTATTAGCAAGATCCTTCTACTGTGCTGCAAAATAACCACACAGCTTACCACATGGAAGGGGGTGCTGGCCATAACAAGAGGCACAGAGGCAGCTCTCCTGACTTCATATAGCTCAGGGCTTCATTGAAAGTTATTCCCCACATGCTCTACAGGGGCAGCTTTAAGTCCCTTTTGTGTTACTGGAGCAGCACAAACCAGCCCAATTCACTTGGTCTTCTTATTTTAATACCCACATCCTAGTATTTTAAGCAACCTTGGAACAAGCCGAGGCATCTGCAAGCTGGGGAAAAGAAATCCACTTCAGGCTTTTAAAGAACAGTGTGGAAAAGCATTTTAAAGAAAGCTTGTCCATTCCCATGGATTTTATTGACAGACAAAAGGCTACAGCTGCTCTGGTACATGGGCTAGGACTGTTCATCCTCATGCTGAGGGATAAACTCTACACAACTGAAGCTTAAACAACACAGAACACATCTTCCATGGTAAGTAATCAAATGGGGGGTTAAACCTGAGGAAGTCTCTTCTGATCACAAATACTCTGAGGGTAAAGCAAAAGCCAGTCTGTTAGGGACTGAATCAGGCCACCAGAGACAGTCCTTATTTACCATCTGAGGTCTATTCCCAAATGTAGGTTGAAAGTGAGATCTGTGCTTGATGCCAGAATCCAGCCCTAAGAGAAAAGACTTTGAGGTTTCAGTCCCAAACATAACACCTATTTCAAGGCAAGAGACACCTCCATGTTCTGGTTTTAAAGCTCATCAATGGCTGCTCAGCATCACCTAGTCCTTTAGCACATAGTGTATCACATAGCATGGAAGCAAAGCCACAGGCCTACTTTTTCCCCAAAATGAC